CATATTTGACATTGAAATGGAATATATGTATATCATAAAAAACCTGTCGACGAAAGAGAGTAAAACAACTAGAATATCACAGTTAGAATTAAAATTAGCGTGGAAAGTTAAAACAAATAGCACTATTTGGACAATACAATATAAAAACAGGCTATATAGAACGCCAACAACAGAAGGTAGATCACCATACTAGGGACCATGGGGACTTACGGTACCTTTGCTACCTGCATGGACCCTAGTTTGATTTAGACCATCCCTTCAGCTGCTGGCGATGGTAAGAAATGTTAGCCAAAAATAAATAAACAAGTATGCTACGTTTAAAAATCCTGGTAAGTTTAAATTGACTTTGAAAATTTTGGGACTTACGTACCCTCTCAAAAAAATAGTAATAATCAAGATTGGTTATTGCACTTTTTACATTTCCCACATCCTGAAGACCGTACCGTGTATCAGTTACTATTGATTATGAATATTAGATACCATCTGTCTGCCTCTTGAGAGACTTTCCACAGCGAACGGGAATCTGCCATGTAGGCTGGGCCATCTCATCGTCATTGCAAATGTTCTTTTATTCCCTTTACGAATTTTAATCGAGAACTTTGTCAAAATACAAACAGTAATCCAGAAAGGAAGTCGCCATTTTGAAACTACTGAAAACTGCTTCTTGATTGGCTAATTCCTGCCAAATTGGTCGGTCAAAGTTCGCAAAGGTCGTTTTTTCATGACCTGAAATAAGACGTCCTCATATCTTGACAGATGCTGTTTGAAGACTTTCGATAAGACATGTCCACATCGTTGCCTAGTGGCAAGCGTAGTAACGTGTGTCAAATGTTAACATTCTGATGTTTTTGGCACATCCGTTAAATATCTCCGTCAAACGCCACACAAAAATGCATTTGCGTTTCTTTTCGTGCAGAGCACATTCTTTCGTTAGTTAGCCAAGGTTCATTTTATGAGGGCTTCTCTTACAAACCGAACCCTATCACCGAGTCTTTGTCTGACAAGGTGTTGTGTAGAAATGTATGGCGGTAACCCAAGAGGGTCAACATAGTAGACGTGTCTACAGAAAAGCACAGGACACAGGTTCGTGAACAAAAGCATACATATGGGGAGGGTCATGGAATTATTTACGTAAACTTCAATTTTTCACAACAACAGTAACATGTAATTCTCCCCATAAAGGTAAGTGGTTATAAACAATTATGTATGTAATTGGAGATTGTGGGTTTTATGTTACTCACAAATTGCCATTTCAACCAAACTTCATGAGATAACATAAGTAAAATGTGAATCTTTAAACGTAATTCTCTATTTCCATGTCAATTCTCCCAATAATGGTAGGTTGAAATAAACAATGTATATCCTTAGATGTTGTAGATTTTATGTTAAGCTCAAAGTTCCATTTCAACCAAACTTCATGAGATAACCATCAGTTAAATGTGAATCTTTAAAAGCAATTCTCTATTTCCCATATTGATAAGTACATAGTAAATGCGTTGTCTGTGTAAAGTTCACTGTTATTCTATCCTGGTCTGTGTAACTGTAGAAGTATTGTATTCACACGACTGCAGATTGCACAGTGATAAAAATATAATGACTCACTGAAATCAATACTTTTTCTAGATAACCCACGGCATCAATATGGGGACGTTTTCCGCCTACACCCTTCGTGTTGAATACATGACACGTTTGTACGGATAACAACATCTTTTACTCTTTATACGACGTATCAGAGCTAATTCTTTCTCCTTCATCAGGCTCTCCACCTTGAAGGAGCAATAATTAGCTCTAAACGTCGTATAAAGAACAAGAAGAAGTTGTTATCCATACAAAACGTGTCATGTATTCATGTTCGTCCAACTTCTAAATGCCTTTCAAGAGCTTCACCCTTCGTGTTGACATCCTGTTTATCGTCGATTACCGTTAATAGAAATGTGTCTGTACATGTTGGATGGAGTTGGTATAGACCTTTTGGACATTGTTGTACCCGTGAAGATCCAAGTGGGAACTGATCTTCAGCAGCCTTTTCTTGCCGTACTGAGTTAATCGACGAACACGATGGTTTGCTAAGTCATGCATGTCATAGTATCCCAATTGCGTAGATCGATTCTCCAAGATTTAACTCAATGGAGAATCTGTTCCTTTTATTGAGTTCGGTGTAAAACGACAAACAAATAAAACAAACAAACAAATCTTAACCATTGTAGTATAGTACGTTCACTTTTATCTTCAAATTGTATTCAATGGCATCCTATTCCCGTTCTCATAATTGTCATGGCGTTTATGCTATCTTGCTAGTGACAGTTTCCTTGATGCCCCTTTTCATGCAAAGTCGCCAGTGTTAAAAGTGTCACATTTTAAGCATGTTCTTTAGTTTTCTTTTCTTTTAGTTTTCAAGTCAGTGTTATCATTTATCCTTTATTCCCCTTGCCATCCATACCATCCATACATAATGTCACATGTCATTTTCCTCATCCTTATGAATATTTATATAAAACGTTAATGCCAGAGAATAACCGGTCTCGATTTCCCGCCGACGTTACCGTCTGTAAACATTAGTTTCAGCAACAACAGCAGAACCATCACATTGCAGCAAAACAGAAATCACACACTAGTTCTACAGTATTTATTACCAAACATAATTGAATTCTCTTGGAGACATATATACGGAAAAAAAATATATAATGATTCTATTACAATATCTGTCAGCGCATTTACAGGGGGCGAGTAGAACTGTCTGTAACGTCATCTGGGTTTCTCGAACTCAAGCCAACTCAACTATACCTTGAGATCTATCAAGGTATAATGGATTCGTATGACTGATAAATACCAGCAAAAGAACACCAATTCCATTGTAATGATATTTCAAACAAAAAGCAGATTCTAATATACTATTCTGACTATATAACGTGTCATTGATAAGTAAATAGTTATTCTAATTACAGAGAGGCAGTTCGTAACAAGCCCAAATTACAACTGAGTTAAAAGCCAATGTCACTGTTTCTATATTTCAGTACGTCTATCACTTGCAAAGATATTTTTTAAACTACACTTTCTTATTGTTCCTTACCCCTTTGGGAGGGCTGTCAACTTGGAGGTATCAAAATGTCAACCTTATTGTGAAAATTATTTTAAGTTAGGCCAGTATTATCCGTTGTAACAAATTGAATCCATATACGTCTTAGTGCTGGTTAAAATGGAGTATCTAATAGTTAAAATGCTTGTTTCTCTCTATATTCCTAGTCATTGTCTGTATTCAGTTTCTAACCGCTGCACCATACAAAACAGCCTTTCATTTCAGTTCACCGTTTACAAATCTTATATTCAAAGCAAAATCTTGACATTACTGTGTTTGAATAATGCATTGTATATTTGAAAGGATTTGGTTTCTTATATCTTACAAGAAGGATAGCAAATCGATTTCTTTCCCTGAAATAGGAAAACTAAAACCGTGGGTTTCAGTTTTCATACCATGCTAAACCCTCACCATGGAAAGTGCCTTTTAGTGTTTTCAGATAAAGATTATCTTTTCATTTGTTTTACAGGCAAGGTTTAAAAGGAAATTAGTAAATCGGATTTTCACCGAAAGAGAGATCAAACGACTTATATGTTCTTTGTGCCTGTTGTTTAGCAGACGGATGCCATAGTAATTCAATCAACAGAGAACACAATTAAGTTGTAAATACACATAGAGACGAGACACAAGCATTGTACAGAGAAACAGTAATTGGAAAATACAATAGACGCTAGTAGTGCTCTAAGTTGGAAACTTTAGTTTGTACGTAAATCTCAAAATGATGTTTATGAACAAACGTATCTGTTCGACAATGAAAAGAACTACAAAGAAAAACAACACTTATGATGACGTTGAAAATTTGCAAATACTTGTAGTCTGGTTCATTTAAAGCACTCCAACATAAGAGGATGTACATACTGACGAGAAAGTGTGGGATATATGAGTGGGATAAAAAAATCATATCTAAGTGGCTTCAATGGAAGATAGCCCATGTCACGAGATAACTGTGATGAGACATTTTAAAATGATAAAGAGTTGGGACACATGCAATTAGAACGGATGATGCTTTACTTAGGTATATACGAAGCTCTGGGGATATAAATCACATGTTAATCCCCTGTCAATGTGCCAGTTAGCCCACCCCATCTCTTCACATACGTAGACAGAAATATGAAGGAATGTAACTGTCTATGTGTTCGCACATTAATGAAGATCAGAATATGAATTTTTGTTATCATTTATGGCATTTTTATCTTCACTATGAAAGTTTCTGTTCTGGTGAAACTTATCTGCCTTTGTAGCAGCAATCTGGAATGTTTAATAATACATGGACGGAATATTCCAAGAAAAAAATATCAAAAGCCCCTGATCAATGTGTCTGTTTCGGGTTCAGGATAGTGTTACAAACATAAATGCAAACATTTCGGACAAGCATACAAGTATCAATTGTCCACAGTTATATGTCTGGCAGTCTTCTTCTCATGATCAGCTTGGCAGTCTTGTATTTTGTATAATGTTATAAATGTAAATGCAAACATCATTTTAAGGAAATAACTGTCAACATTCAAGGAAAAACATACATGTTTTTCTTCTACTGTTTATCAGTGTCTCTGTCCTGGCTTTAGAATAGTGTTACAAATATATTGCAAACATTGAGGAAAACAGGAAACAATTTCTCACGCAGAAAGTAAAAATACATACCTGTGTGCGCGCGTGTATGTGTCTTGGTTTCAAAATATTGTTACAACTTCAAATGCTAACAGTGAACAATTTCCTAACCTTAAAGTCTAGTGTAAAGAATTCATAAAAGAGTACAACTTCGACATGGTGATTCTACTCTGGGTTGGTATTTGAATAACACCCGTTAAGATCCGGGTTAGACTTTGTCTTCAGTAACCGATGCTTGCCGTAAGAGGTGACTAACGGGATCGGAGAGGTCATGCTCGCTGACTTAGTTGACATATGTCATCGTATCCCAGTTGTGTAGGACTGTTTAATTTGGTCCAGACTTGATCATTTACAGAGACTTTTGCCATATAGCTGGAATATTGCTGAGTGCGATTTTAAACAACAATATTTGCAATAATATAATGATAAGGATACATACAGTTACAACCATCACGGCATAACGTAATATGTAACATATAAAATTTAACATCAGACGGAAAGGGTACACAATGAAGGGAAATCACTTCCATGTTTTTCCCCAGGAATTGTTTGCTCATGAACAAAAACGCTGTTCATTCGTTACAGATCACAATAAACAATTATTTACAGTTCCTCCACTTCCTGTATTCTTTGGTGCTTCTTCAATGTGCAAAAGGTGTCCGGACACTTCGGATTTCAAGCTTCTAAACGTTATCAATAGTGATACTAAATTCGAATTATCTTTCTGTAATTTACACCAAAATGCTCTTATTTTATCACATTATTCCTTGCAGTAATATATACAATAGTTCAAGTTTCTATCTTCATCTTTATTCACACATCTTCTCATTGTGTGTTCACATTGATAGAATAACAAGTTTTATTTATTAAGGTAAAAATAAATAAACAAATCTTATAGAGAAATATATATCCTGTATGGTTGGTAAATATATCAAGTTGATTAATAATTGATGTGAGTACGTGGCAGTATATCAGTGATGGCAAATAACACATTGACGTCGTCATTATTACATAAGCATATAAACGCAAGTATTTGAGCAAAATAATCAAACATCTCTGAATATAATTGACTCAGGGTCAGATAAAATTTACCAAAATTACTTTTTGTATACTGTGTAAATGCACAATGATGTAGCTTGTGTTTCCATTCATTTCCACAACGATCAACAATTCCATCGATGTCTAAAAAATCATGTATTTGCCACAAGGTTGTAATCAATCCAACACTCTTCCACTGTTTCCCTCATCGCCTTTACGCGTACAACTTAAACCTCATCCTGTTGGCCGAATCGTCAGAGGCGCCACACTTCACCGTGCAGGCCAGAAATCTGTTATCATGGCTTCTTATGCCGGCTCGGATTGTCAGCACCAAACCCTGTTTATGGGTTTCTCCAAATTGGCAAACATCTAACAACAGCATCTCTTCTGGTTTTCTTCCTACATGAAACTGCCAGGGTATAACAGAGATACTGTTCAAAGCGGTGTGAAACCCAGTTCATTCACTCATTCACTTCTTCCAAAAAAGGTAAGTGGTGATTCAATAACATGAATACAAGCTCGGAAAGAAGCCATTGTGTCACGTTATTAGGTTGTAATATGTCCAGTAAAAGGCGTTGAACAACACAAAAGCCAGAGGAAAGCCATGGCGCGAGATTTTATCAATCTTTACTCCAAGGTCTTTAGATCCATCAAGCTTTAAGGAGATGATTGATTTTGACCTTGACCTTGATGCAGGGATACGACCTGTAGTGAACATCTCGTCATTGTCAAATGCATTGTTGAACACACCAGAACTAGTGCTCTGAAAATAAAAAATACCTTAGGTATACATTCTGTTTTCAATGTTTCTTATTGAACATTCCATGTCAAGAAGTTTCCACATGTACACCCAATTGGGCAGATCGATGCTCATGCTGTTGATCACTGGATTGTCTGATCCAGACTAGATATTTACAATTGAGAAATTTGCGGCATAAACTCACTTGTACACAAGTTTCGAGATATTTTGTCTCATAATCTCTACTTGTCTACGGGTTCTTGGATTCAACGGTTATTGATCAATATATTGAACATTATAATAATAATTGCCTATTGATAAATATCGTTTGTTGCATGAGATCCAAACAACACTGATTAGACATCATTAAATGATCAATGAAGCTGTACTTTTCCGTACATCCTGACCATTACACTTATTGACATGTTACGGCTATGTTTTAGGCCCAACAAAATATTTGTATGTTTAATTTGGTATTTTAGGGGTATATCATTCTTGTAATAGTGTACATCTTCATTCATAAGAGTGCATTATATATAGGCTGAGCATTTTCAAACTATGTACGTTATTTGTCATAAGTAGTTTCTTAAAGTTATACATATTCGTTTTGGAGTCACTTGGTAAATATTTACGACATAAGCTATCATATCTAGGACAAATGAAAGTAAAATGGCATTCGTCTTCTAGACCTCCGTAACAGATGACATGTTCTCAGATTTGTGTTAATTTTACAACATCGTCCTTCATAAAATTTCAACCTTAACAATCCAGCTCTAAATCTAACTATTAGTGGTAAATATTTACGTAATTTATACTCTGCAATTTCAAAAAGGTATTTTTCAGGGTTTAATAAGCTTTTTGAATTCTGTGTACAAAACATAACGTGTGCTATTGTCAAGATCGGATCTCCAAGTTTGTTTAAAAACACCTGCTAAACGCGTTTTAAATATTCTGATAAAACCTACGCGATTTCCAACAGTTTGTGACAGCCAAACAAATCCAAATCCATAAGAAAAGAGCAAATAGCAATTTTTGTTGCTCATGTCTCATAGCCAAAATTATCGAGATTAAGTAACATTTCATAAGCTTTCTTTGGTATGCGATCTTTATGCATTGTTGTTATTTTAATCCAGTAGTTAAGACAACGAACAGCTGCATTTACAAGGAAAACGGCCACATTCACCATACTCCATAGCATTAGGTGTCTGAGATCCAACATTTGGGTATAACTTACAAGCCGAAAGATGTATTTTCTCAATGCTTTTATATTTTTTTATATCCCCACATTTCTGAAGCATATAATTGGATAGATTGTATTTGACTGTCTAATATTTTGAAAAAGATATCCGGTGATAACGAACCGATTTTTCTAAGGTTACCAGTTAATTCCATTAATGCATTTTTGCCACGTAAGGAGAGATCGGATAATGCTTTGCCCAGGCTAACATTACACGTGAATAGAAAACCGAGATACTTATAGCTCTTGACTATCTTTAAGTTATTACCTTTAAAGTACCATGCATCAGTCCTTTTAAGTCTGCCTCCACTCATGAATACAACAATATTAGATTTATCAAGATTAACATTTATACGCCACTTATCTAAATACAATGCTAAAATATGTAATTGGTTATGAAGTCAAATGCTTGGTAATCATTTCTGAACATTTTCTCTGGGCCTTTATTGAATTGTTTTTTTCAGCACTATCACGCTGTGTGGCGCTGAATGAACTTCGTCTTCACGACGAAAATATACAAATGCGACAGCACTTACCCCGTTCTGTTTTGACGTGTCTTTATGCCTTGTGCTCATGCTCAGTTTGCGATGTCTCCGTGCGAGGACAGTAACAACAGCATACTCCATATAAGCAGCAAATACGAAGATAAGACAGGCAGACATCCAGACATCGATAGACTTGACGTATGGAACCCGGGGTAGTTGTGTCATGGCTCCGGAGCTCTGTGTGGTGATGGTGAGCACTGTAAGGAGCCCGACAGAGATGCGAGCAGGGATCGCTTGATGGTCAATCCAGAAGGAGATCCAAGAGAGGCTGACGATGAGGATGCTGGGGATGTAGGTCTGGGTGAGGTAGAACCCGATCTGACGTTTCAGAGTCAGCTTGGCGTAAAGGCAAGGGAAGGTTCCTTGATAGAACAACAATAATAATAAATAATAATAATGGATATTTATATAGCGCCAGTTCCACGCACTTGTGCATGCTCAAAGCGCTTAAACATTATTACCCTTGATAACCCAAGCTGCCTGTGAGGCGCTAGAAGGTTAATAGTCACATGACTTATCTCACCGAGTACCCATTTTCTGCTGGGTGGCAATTTTGAACAAACTCACTTGCCTAAGGTGAGACCACGTGTGTCACATGTGCTTCGTTGTGAAGCAGGACTGAAGTCCTACAAATTCTCAGGAGTGAAGCTGCCAAACACGGTCACCCATCCAAGGACTCTAAGCGCTCAGTGTCGCTTAACTTCAACTGAATTGTGACCTGAGCTTATGCACAGGACCATACACCACCACACTACACTCAAAGGTTATTGCCTGTTTATATATAGGATTCTCATCATAAGCAGGGCACCAGGCGTTTTGGTTTGGTTTTCCCAGACGGCAAATCTAATTAGCAGTCACAGTCGCATAGTTAGAAAAGGGAAGATAACTCTACTGTTAAATTCCGGACAATAGTGGTATTCATAAATCTATTTATTACCGAACAGAAACTAGTATTACTGAAAACATCCGGCCCCGATTTCTCGAAACAAACTTAAGTCTTTACTCAAATTTCAAACTGAGTTTGACAATTTGAAACAGCTGAATTTTTAACTCAAATGCATTTTTTGAAATAGAAACGCCCAAGCCACCTATCCACCAAACTCAGATTGTTTACTATGTTTGAGTTTGATATCGATTTCAGTTCATTCTGGTAAATGCGTTTTCTCAAATTTAAGTAAAAACTCTAACTTAATTCAAAACTCAGACTTAAGTTTGTTTCGAGAAATCGGGGCCTGGTCGCTTGGCATGTTTTAACTTGCCTGCAAGATGATAAGATCGAGTTGCGTGGTCTTACAAATGTCATGGAAAATTTCTGTACGCATACATGTAGTATCCCAGAAGAAGTATCATTGTCACTTTAGCATTTATGCATGGATATTTCCCCAGCAATATCCGTTCCCTGGTGGAATAATGTTTGCAAAATGATTGCTTTCAGAAACGCAAGAGGTTTGTGGAGTGACGTGAATGTCGTAACCAATACCACTGTGTGTTGCAAACACTCGGTTCTAACGGAGACACATAAATAACGGTTTTGCATCAACAGCGAAAGAACTCATACAATCAAAACATGTAATGTATACAGGTTGGTCACATGTCTAGCAATGCCTTCATATTGCGATATATATGTTGGAGTCACGACATCCTGGTTGGAGCAACAAAGATTTTAAACGATTTACAAGAAGACAATTCTTTATAAGAAACTTGACAACAACGGATTTAAAAATATTTATTATTATTTAGAAATAATTCGCAAAAGGATTTGGATATTCAGCAAGTGAGTGAACTGTGTGTCACACGCTGGTTGCAATATATACAGAGGCAGTACCAGGCAAACCAATAACGATATAATGCAAACGGGACATGAATAGATTCACGCAATTGCAATCACCATTGTAACTAGACAACACCGTGAGCAGTACCTGTAGCGTATGTGGCAGTGCAGTCGTGTGTGGTAACGGAGAGCAGCTCAAAGTCGGGCATGTTGGCGTTCGGGAGAACATTGAGGGACTGGCGCCCCGAGGACCACTGCATCTGTATGTCATCAGTTGTAAATGCATCTGAAACAGTTTACGTGTTCATGAATGAATGAAGAGTCACCCAAAACAGACATTACGTCCCAAGACTGAGTGGTTATGATTGATCATGAATGAGTCAGGTTTCAATGCCGCTTCGAACAGTTATCAATATAGAATTAAGACGTGTCAGCCTAATGTGGGCCCAAATTGACGCAGGTCTCACACGTTGCCATTTAGGAGATAACCATCATGTGTTGGCCAATTTCCGGGTGTTATTGAGTATTTGAAGCACGGGAATTCATTTGGAACCGACGGTGTTAGCCGGAAGTTTCAAATCAAATATTCCCGTGCTTCAAATACTCAATAACACCCGGAAATTGGCCTACACATGATATTTATCGACATTGTAAACACAAAAGTAAACCAAAAGACCCACATGGGTTTTACTGTCTGCACTCATTGACATCGAGTGAAGTGTCATCAGCTGGCCGTTTCAGCTGGTTCCCATGGTAGCATCTGGAACTGCTCATTTGTGACGTCATTCCGACTTTACGTCACAATATGATTTGAATGACGTCACCACTGCTGACGACGCAACAATACAATTGTTTGCGATATTTGTACGTGTCAATACGCAGTGAATAGTCTTGCAATTTCCGGGAATCAAATACCATTCGATCTTGTTTTTCAACCAATCAGATTAAAGAACACGATGACTTTTGGTTTACAATGGGTGAAACCGGGAGCATGACGTGATGCTGACAAACCTAGACGGGCGATCACGGATTCGAACCCATGATCACAGGATTCCGGCGTGCCCAACAGCGCAACCCTGCACAGGGAACTGTGTACATATACATCCAAAGAACCAGATTGGACTCCTAAATGTAATTCAAAACTTCATCGGATATTTTGAGTGTGCAAACATCTTTGACTATTTTGTCTCAGTTCCATCATGCGATGACAATCAGATGGAAGGAGGCAAAGCGAAGGTAATTTGTAAGGCATGGCATATATTCAAGATCCCTAACTTTATTTGTTCAGTATATGTCCAGACAACTGAGCTATATGGGAATTAATTTTGTATTAAGTAAGTTAATACTGTATTCATTTGTATATATATTAAACAAAGTGATTTAAGACTTTATGCATTATGAACTACTTTCAACCTGAATTAATGACACCATTGCGTTAAGAGTAGGATTACAAATACGATGCATAATGAATAGGGCATTTGTCTTTTTCCTTTCAAACAAAATGTTGACATTGCACTCGTGACAGCGCCACCCATCAAAATACATACATAATTCACTCGATAAGAGGAGCATACAATCTGACTGGAAATGCAAATATTTAATTCAATTAAGTTGTTCTATGGCGAGTGGGTTTTTTTGTTTTGTTTTGTTTTGTTTGTTTTTTGCATATGGTATTTAAACATAATACGCGCGTCGTTTATGGTTCATGTTTCTTCCGGTGTGTTTCGAGACGTACCTGAGCACAAAAACACACAGATCTAATCCTTTAAAATTAGATTGTGGGTTTTCATTGGGTGTCAGTATATAACATACACATGGCATATAGTGATATGCGCTATAAAAGTCTGGAAGAAGATCAGAACGATTGGATATGGCATTCTTACAACTTTCCATCCTGATTTCACAAGTTTGTTGATCCATTGGAAACTTCCTCAGGTCCATCACACAGTGAAATTCCACAGAAACCCTGGAACAGAAATATGATTATAGACATGTGAACTCTGTTAGTGTAGCTTTAATCACTTACTGAACAGAGTATATAAGTGCATTGCTGTGTGGACAAACTAATATTACACCTGTGAAGATCCGGGTTAGAATTGGTCTTGTCGTAAGAAGCGACTACGAGATCCGGTGGTCAAGCTCGCTGACTTGGTTGACACATGTCATCGTATTACAGATACCAAGATCGTTGCTCATCCTGTTGATCTCAGGATTGTCTGGTCCAAACTCGATTATTTACAGACATAATATGGCTGCAGTATTGCTGAGTGAAGCGTTAAACAACAAACGAACAAAATAACTATTAGGACCACATGACGACACACATGTGATAAATAGAATTAACATAAATATAATTTTTTATTGAAATCAGCTCGATTTATGAGCTGGCGCGTACACACAATAGCAACAGAACATGATGTACAAGTTATCCATTTGTATGTTAAGTGGGTCTACATATGATGGACGTGACGATTGCAATTTAAGAAAGATTCACGGCGAAATATGCTGTTCGAAAGAGACGACCAAAATAATGCTGAGTACTGCGATATTCAACAGACAATACAATAGAACACATGCTGTAATTTCTGGCAGCTACCCGCCAACGCTTCACTGAGATAACAGTCTGGCATCATAGTTAACTAATCTGCCAGACGTGCACATATCAGCTACATGTGTATCGGTGTGGTTGTAATGGAACAGCAGAAATAGAGACACGTACAGTCCGAGTCAAAAGTATCAACCTGTCCGGATTTCTCCACAACGATCTATATGACAAATAGCTCCACAACCATTAAGTGAACCAACCCATTTAATAGTTTTTAACGCCTGAAAAGAACGTGTTTATTATTGGACATATACAAAACGTACAGTAAGCATCACATGGTACACATTCATACCTAATTTTCAACCAAATTCAGTAATGAAAAAATTAATTAACTGAGCTTCATAGAATAAAACTCATGGATTTGATCTCTCTTTCCTTAAAATATTTATAACCATAACTTCAACTCCAACAGAGGATGCACGTCAGATTTTGTGAGCTATGATCCGATATCAGATAAAGACGGCATTCTGAATAAACGACCTAATAGTCGCAGCAATCGTGTTATGTGCTGACACAATTCAAGTTCTCAAGAAAAAAATACTCTACCACGTTTTAAATATTTGATAAAATGCGACAAAAATTAAATTAACTAAAAGTTGTTCTGGTATAGGTATCAGATAATCAAACACAGTCGTAGTTCGGGTTCGAATCTCATTCCATGTGTATTGAGATGGACATCAAAGCACATCTTATGTGATTTTAAGTTCAGGTTAAGTATGTGTTTTATTGTGTTTCAGTAAATGTCAGTATGCTACTCAAATGAAAATCGATCGAGTTTGACCAAATCATTATTATTATATACAATGCCGTCCGGTGATTCCGCGCACATCGATCGCAACACGGCAACTAACGTCTCTTATTTTTGTGGTTTACGTGACTGAACATGCTGGTATGCATCATATTTACCTAGAAATATAAGTTTTATTGACGACTATAAGATTCTAACGTTGCATTATGGTTGACCTAACCGGCGTTTTGACGACATCGCTTGCTGTCCGGTAAATCTGCGCAGCAACTGATGCGCATAACACCCGGCTGGAGATCCGAAGTATGGAAGCGTATTAGGGCAAGATTATGTTCAATAATCACTTCATCGATGTAAGGAAGAGTGTTTCATATTAAATCCAATTATGAATAATGAAGAAAAAGGTTTAAAAGTCTGAAGAAAACGAATTTTCATAAAACTGTCAATTTATCTGTCAATTACTGTTATTTACTTACCTTTAGTGATTAAAAGCCAGTCCCTTGTAGAAATGTCCCGATTTCAAGCATAAATATGGTAGCAGACGATGTTTACCGCGATACGGAAGTGCGCTATTGCAGCTGCGTGGAATTACCGGACTCGCTTGTACAGGCTTTGACAGAGTTCTACAAGTCCCTTCCCTTTCTAAAGTTAATCGTATATTAATTGTAACACTACCTAATAGTGTACCCAGAATGGATATGAAGAATATAAAAAACATAAAATGAAGCTATGTACTTTTCTGGATTGTTTTAACTGATATATGATAATGTCTCAAAAACTGTTAAAACGTAAACTTGAATATTGCGTACAAAGTACCTTTGACTATAGAATACCATCCCGTCTGGGGATAGGCGTAGTAATACATTTGGTGTGGTGATGTCATGACGCAGCTCCGTCTCTGACTGCGGAAAGAAAACGTCCGGTACCCATATCATTGACAGCTTCTTGTAGCTGAGCACGATACTGGTGTTTAATTCGTTGTACTTGAGGCGGGAGTCTAACCATTCCTGGCGGAGGTAGAAGCTGGCACCGAATTTCTGGAAGAGAACCAGTGTTATATCACCTACCACTTTTTAATATACTGAGTAAAGTATCAATGGCAAAGTGAGATCGTGAGTAAGTGGGTGAGAGTGTTTGAAAATATTGCAAATATATCGCAGCGTGCCAGCGTCAAAAGGATGCATGTCACTGACGGCACGTGACATCAATGATCAAACAAAGGATAGAAAAAAAGTGCATCTTGTATTAGAAACCTGAGATTCCGATATGGTTCAGCCCGAAACAAGTTGGTACAGCTATTTACACCACTGATTCATCTCTTCTGGGAATCGAACTCTGATGAACATTTCAACAAGGCTACACTAACGCTGACCCTTCTTCCAGTCACCACAGAGCAAAGAGCCATCACATAATACATACCAGTGTAGGCATACTACACGTTATTACCGATAAGAGCATACCCGTCAAGATCCAGGTTAGAATTGGTCTTCAGTACCCCATAATTGTCGAAGAGGCGACTAACGGGATCGGGTAGTCAGGCTCACTGACTTGGTTGACACATGTCATCGTATCCCAACAACGTAGATTGATGCTCATGCTGTTGACCTCTGGATTGTCTGGTCCAGACTCGATTATTTACATACCGCCGCCATATAGCTGGAATATTGCTGAGTGCGGCGTAAAACAACTCACTCACTGATAACCGCAAAGGTCATGATTACTGTTTTAACACTCAAACTATTTTAAGAATTACACTTTCAGACCATTTATTGTGTATCGCACATCACCATTTGTCTGCACGTTATTGCAGAAGGAGTATGAACTAAATTGACTATCAACAACACTCACCATGTCTCTGTCATTGACAGGGCCTAGAGCGTTCAGAGCAATATCTATATACACCATTGTAGCTGAACCTGGAACCAACAGAAATTGAAACCTTTGAGGCGTTATATTCTGATTATGAAATATAGATGCACGTAGGGCTGTCTCGTACGGAAAGGACCTGCATGATGAAGTTAAACCTTGATATCAATCACCATTAAAACACCAGAAACACGCTTTATCCATTTCACGTTCATGATGGATGTAGTGTAACAGTAAATTGATCAAATGAATTCAATGTCACTGAGTTTCGATAGAGCAAGGGATTAACCGTCATGACTTACTTTCTAAACCTCACCGACACCATAGGTCCCCTTAGTCTCCAGGAAGGTAATTTTGCTTTAGGCGCTAGTGGTGTATGGCCTAGTGTTAAATTATACTAACAGAAAACTGTGATACTGAACATACTGCTTTACTGTTCATTGCAGACAGACCTTTAATATTATTGAACTTGTTATATAGCTGAAATATTGCCGATGCTATGTAAAATTGTAACTCACTCACTAAAATTCATCGAAATTATGGATTGTTTAGGGTTGCGTTGTATCACTGCACTATAATCGCAATGTTTTTCATCTTCTACGTAGGACTTGATATCGACTTTTATATCTTCTTACGTTTGACTTTATCAAGTAGAACATTTTATCCCCCACGTAGGATTTTCGATTCCCTCCGTAGAACTTAAATCGCCTACATTGGACACCTTTCGCCAACATTGGACACCTTTCGCCAACATTTTGCCTTACATATACTGCTGTCAACGTGACGCGGCCTGACAGGACCATTGATGACATATATATATGCTGTACGTCAGTATCAAGTGGTTTAAGTATCGTTTACTTTGATGGCTAGACAGAGATTGGGGAAACCTTTAGCCAGTGTGGGTTCTGCATTACATGTTCCATACTCAAGCACGGTAGAACAGAAATAAAATTGTGCGTGGTTTATGAAATATTAATGATTTTTCTAAAGTGCAAAACTTGGCGTCTACGTGGCATGACCTCAAACTAGTAACAGATCGATATGATAAAAAAAATCTCCCAATGTTTCAACATTACAAAAAGAGTGTATTTCGTGTGAGGGGAACATAAGATACAAAAGTAAATGGTGTTTGATATTACTTAAAAACTATTTGTATTACAATTTTAAAAGGCAGACATCACATCGTTTGAGAGAAAACACAAACGCAATTACACACACACACACACACTCGCAGGGATTTAGGATTGCAACAGTGCAATTAAACATAGAAACAGTATAAAATCGTTCGATACATGTGATTTGTTTTCACACAGAAGCTCAAAAAGCAGTTAAGTTACTCATCCACAAAACTCGTACATATCATGTATCCAAAATGTCCATTAGTATTCATTGGCACTGACGCTCAGGGAGCATTTTCATGTTTTGTTAGAAACTCATATTATCACCGCACATGTTTAACTGACGATTGGTGAAATTGGACAAATGTCTGATCCACAGGCATACACAATCCATCCATCCTTCATCCTGACTTACTGCTAGGCCGAATGCTGGAGTCGTACGTCTTTCCTTCCAGGAGCGTGTCAATCAGCAGCTTCACGGAGGCTTCCACAGTATCATTGTTACATCTTCTGGAAACCAATAAAGTCGTGAATGAGTCTAACATATCAGTCACAGAATAGACGTTATGAATAATACTCGTGTGGCAATAACTCAATGTTGTATCACGATGGAAAGGCGTGTAAGAGAACGTGATCACAAAAGAACATTATGCATGTTTTCATCCTTAAGAAGATGAAGACGATGGAAACCCAGCATCAGTTTCATGTGCTACAGAAGTACTGCATTTCTGATGACAAGTGAGCAATGAACCTGTTATGCATGCATTATTCAGTTTCGAAACTAAAATCTTTTTTAGTAATAATGGCCTGTTAAACTGACAATTTGTTCTCGAAAAACACAAGGTAATTGTATAGACAGTGGATATTGGTGGAATGGTGATTGATGGTGGCAGTTGTAGAAATGGGTCGCTGAAACCGGTGATGGCACGCGAAGAATTCATTGTAAAACTCATTCTTCACCAAATCATCTACTGAGTTAAACTGATCACACAAAGTGTTTGCAAACGGGTCATTCTTCACCAAGTCATCTACTGAGTTTAACTGATCACACAAAGTGTTCGCGAAAAGGCTCATGATGTCATGCTCACAATTTAACACATCTATTCGTTCCAACAGAGTTGGCATGGTCGGGGGAAGTTTTAATGTTTGGGGACAAAAAGTTTCTTTTTCGGCATAACTGATAAATGTTACTGAGCGTATGGTGAAATTCGGTGATTTTAGTCCAGAAGCAGTAACATGTCCAATGTGTATATATGACAATGTTTTCTTTGTTCAATTTATTTTGCATGGGGGTGCGCGGGTCATTTTGAGACAACTGACAACAACATAAAAAAGTGGTGCACCACTGCTCCACACAGTCCTGGGACTATGAATCCGAAAAGATTCTTCACTTTTGTTTGAGAATGTGCGCGTCATTGTCCCTTTAAAAACGCAAAACGAGCTTCCAGATTGCCAAAAGCAAGCAAAACGTCCACGACATATTCTAGCTATATTTCCCGATTCCTCGTTATCATGCACAGTGAGGTCTGACGATGTGAATCAAGCACATGGACATGATAAAGGTTTAAGAATTGATTTAGAGGTACTAAATCTGTGGATGTCATCAGGCGAATACTGCTTCCTCATTGCACGAATGAGCGTGGAACCATCCGTATCACGTACCTTGATACGCAAAGAAATATCTGGATTTTTACAACATTTATGCGATAGTCCTTGGCCCCGCTGGTTGGTTGGTTTGTTGATTAACGCCGCACTCAGCAATATTCCAGCTATATGGCGGCGGTCTGTAAATAATCGAGTCTGAGCCAGACAGTCCCGTGATCAACAGCATGAGCATCGATCTACGTTGTTGGAATACGAGCGAGCCTGATCTACTGATCCCGTTAGTTAGTGCAGGGACTTATGTAGCAAAAATGCTTCCCGTGGGAAGTGCATGTTAATTTTTAGAACCACTAATAATTGTGATCAGTATTGCATATGGATTCAGAAAAACCATGGTTCCATTTTATGCTGATGATTATAAGTGTCATTCCGGGGTAACTGAACATCGGAGCCCATAATCGAGCTGCAACACCAATGTGGGAAAAACATATTTGTATAAACCTTTCACAACATAGGTATGTAGTACGTCAAAATGTACGATGTGTGTTTTACAACTACCATTATGTATCATGAATCTCAAATATATATATGCATAATAATCACTATGATCATAAGTGCTTCTGCCAAAACCGAAGGTTTGTTGCAGAGGGTATGCATTCAACCCTCTGTGTGTGTGTGCGTGCGTGCGTGCGTGCGTACGTGTGTGTGTGCGTGTGTGTGTGTGTTCGCATCTTTACTTAAATACTACTTGATGGATTTCAATGAAATTATCTGGATCTCTTGAGTATGACCCCAGGACAAATCAATGAGATGTTGAAAAAGTACACTCTTCAAAAATAGAAACGCAAAAGCAAACTATCATTGAAAAAATTGGTCTTCTTCAATTATGTAAATCAACGAAAATAAACGGTACAGCATTGAAATTATGTAGAGCAACACATTGGCATCTCGTGCACATTTAGCAAGAATGATAGTCATCATAGTCATTACTGTTGTCCACGAGGTGACGTTGACGTTACTACCTTGTATGACCACCTCTTACCTACTAGAACTGCACGACACCTCCTTGACACAGATTGAATCAGTTGTGGAATCCTTCTCCATTCCTCCTGCAGCATGTTAAACAACATTTACTGCTAACGCCTTATGGCGGATTACGACGTTGACGTACACGTTTATCTATCTGATCCCACAGGTAATCAATTGGTTTCAGATCCAGGGATCTGGAGGGCCAGGGGGAGGACATTGATGTGTTATTGTCCAGGTAGTCCACTGTAGCACGTGCTGTGTGAGGTATGACGTTGTCCTGTTGGTACGGATCCCTTTGGCGGTCGACAAGACGATGCACTTGAGGACAGAGAATCTGGTCAGTATATCTCGCGACCGTACGATTGCCTTGGACGAGCACCAATTCCGATCTGCAGGTGTATGAGATGGCTCCCCACATCATCACACCAGCCCCACCAAATCTGTCCACTTGCCTGATGCAGTTGGATGCAAAACGTTCATTGTGTGGTCTGGACACACGTTGTCTTCCGTCACGTCGCTTGAGGGATACCGCGATTCATCCTTGAACCATATGTGCCTCCAGTTTCCAAGGTTCCATGGCTGCACCGCGTTACACCACCTGACTCACGGACGTTGATGTAATCGTGTCAGAGAGGGGGCAACTTCTGGACGTCTGGCACGCATACCTACCTTTCGGAGACGGTTCCTGATTGTCTGGTCGGACATTCTCCGGGCTCCAAACCGTTCTTGTGCTGTGTCCCGGGCAGAACGATGGCAGTCACGTAGGTGGGTTACCCGGATGTAGCGATCTTGGGCTGTGTGGTGACTCACGGTCTTCCTGGTCTTGGATGGTCATTTGTCAAAATGGAATGCACAAAACGATCCCACAAACGAGTTATTGTGCTGGGATGAATGATGAAGGTCCTCGCCACGACACTCTTGGATTCGCCAGCTTGTAATCGTCCAATGGCAATATTTCGGTGGGCACAGTTGAGACGTCCCATTTTCTCATCAAGTATTTGCAAGGGTCTTGGATGAATTTGCGAGATGCATTTGGGTCTTTTATAGTCATAGGTTGCACGCGAAAAGCAATAATTGCGGCTTTTGGTTGTGTTCCATACCAGTCAAGCTCACCATGACAATCATGATCGATAAAACCATTCAAAATCGTTTATGGTTGCATTCGCTCACTCTTTCTTTTTGAAGAGTGTATGTTAAAGTAAGTACATGTACACAGAGGTACTTTGGAAATAATTGCAATGTTAAATAAATGGAGAATATGAATAATATCTCAAAAAGTTATTGATGGATTTGAATGAATCTTGGTGGTTATGTTAGGTATGACACAAGGGCTATCTGCGTACGGTTTGGTGAAAGTATATTTAAGTACACAGTAGTACTTTAAACATGTAACAGTGAAAGGAAATTGCTGTGCAAGGCGGAGGTATGTTCTCTAACGAGGGCCCTTCAAGTTTCCAAATTAAGATAAAAAAAAGATTTCATGCTTGTGTTTGCATGACAAATAATGTCGAAGCTTTTATTTCAACAGCATACATTGTTCTTGCAGGTTAATGACAGATGGATTGACAATGCAAGTTACTTAAATTTAAAATAAATATACAAGTGCACATTATATATTGCACTTGCATACCCCACTTGAAATATGTAGTTATCTGTTTACTGTGATATAATTTGTCACTGATGTATTAATACATTCAGTTTGTATAGACTGCAGATTTGACTTTATGTCATTTGTCATTTAATTACCCAGACACGAGTGTCAGTGTGTCATTTCTCACTGTACTGGTAGGCCTGATTTGACACTTGTGCACGACTATATGATAGTCACATTAGCCTTATCTGGGTACTATTATTACTACGTACATAAGTGTGTCATGGTAGTATATGTTATGAAATGGGAGAATACATTAATTGAATAAATGGTTTCCATTAATATAGGCCAATACTTACAATGTTGGTGTCCGATGAAGGAAAGACAATATTTGATTAAATTATATCATTATGTCATATTTTATATCACCAACTTGAAATTAGAAACATATCATGTGGTTAACTCTATGTCATACATCATAAGCCGCCTTTTGATATGCTACATGACTATGCTGTGATAGGTTTACGAAAACATGTTTTTCTCAAAATGGTGTCGCCAGCAATTTTGGGAACTCATATTCAATCACCCTACAATGACACTTATAGCAAACAGAAAAATGGAACCATGTTTTTCTGAATCAATACACAACAGTGATTACAATTAGTATTGTTTGGTTCCAAAAATTAACATGTAATTCCCACGGAATTAGACAAGCCCCTGCACTAAGTCGCCTCTTACGACAAACATGGGTTGCTGAAAGCGACCACATGGTATAATAATAGTAATTTTATGGTAAAGGATGGACATTGTGACACCCGCAGCTCTAAGGTCGTTTTATGAAATATGAACCCGATTGTGTTTTGTGTTCTGAATATTTTGTCTCTAGTCTTCAGTGCTAACAGACCTAAAAGGAGATTATATGTAGACTCGGATAAATAGATAGTCCTGGCAGAGAGTCCCTTTTTAACAGCAAGTAATTGTATACCTGGGAGCAATTGTGAGAGAGATGAGGGATCCGAACCCGAAGTACTCTCCAGGATTGCACAGGCGACAGCAGCGCTCATAAAACTGAGGTACATCTGGAACAACCGATGCGTACCCTGGTGACATCAGTACTCTTGTATGCATGTGAATCGTGGACCTTAACAGCTGAGATAGAAAAGAGAATACAGTCCACTGAGATGAGATGCTTTCGAAGACTCCTGGGCATCTCCTACAAAGATCATTTCACGAACGAAGAAGTTCGGAACAGAATCAGGCAAGTCGTTGGGCCCTACGAAGACCTGTT